GATTATAAAATTCTTCACCCACTCAGTAATAATTACTGTAAAGTGTTAAAAAGGAAAATTATATGGTTAGCTCAAGGAGTTTCTTCCAAGAAAAGAAGAGGAAAGTGTGAAACCTTGTGGGTTCCTGCAGGATCCCTGCTCTCACTCTGGGTTCTCAGGGTCAGGAGCTGGGCCTGCCTGCAGGGCGGCGCAGCGGGAGGTTGGCAGCCTTGTGGCAACTCTGGAATTCACGGGCCCTCTCGGTCCACTGTGCTGCTACAACAGAATGCCACGGCCCACTGATTTATAAAAACGGATGTTGATTTTCTCACAGCCCCAGATAAGCTGGTGGGGGCCTGCTCGCTGCGTTCTGCCCCCCGTGGAAGGCAGAGCACATGAGATGAACACTGCGTCCAGGGTCTCTGCCTTCCACGAGAAAGGAGCTCCCGAGACCTGCTAATCTCCGAGGACCAGCACGCGGACAGCACACCTGAGCTTTGGAAGGGACGCAGGGCCCAGGCTGCTGTTCGATCCTTCTGACTAGACGGAAGATGATACTTGGGATTTAGTGATGTCCTGTTGCATCCACTCGACGGCTAAAACAGAATGTTACACCAGTGACAGTCACAGCGAAGTTTTATTACAGTGAGAGGTAAAGCATCCGGCCCGCCGACGGGGACAGCAATATTTACAGTTTTTATAGGATCAGTTTACAATAGCTTGTTGTGCTGGATAGCCTGTGCCCATCTCTTCTCTAGTCCTGTAGTTAGAGAACCAGACTCAGGCCTCGCAGCCCCCGGTGAGATAAGCAGACTCAGGCCTCGCAGCCACCTGTGTGATAACCAGACTCAGGCCTTGATTGCTGGGAACTGGGAACTCTGTGTGCTGAAGGTCGCGTGGGCTGCTCGGCCTGCGAACTCACATGGTCTCACACAGTTGCATAGCCGAGCAAGCAACGCAGAAGTTACAAAGGCAAGAAGCGTTGCAGTCAGCAGCGAGCCATGTTAACTCCACTTTGATTTCAACTCTTCGGTCCTTTGTTCCGAAGGCCTGAGCTCTGATGCACATCCCCATCCTGTATTCATCCCCGGAATCATGAGATGAGCCCCGCGTTAGCTCAGTTCTCCCAGGGTGGTCCTTGCCCAACCTCATGGGGCCTGAAACCCGCAGACACGCAATGTGGACTTCCAAGTGGCAAATCTGGGTGCACTCCATCTTTTGCCTAAGTGCACTGGCATGTTTGAATCAATATTCTTGACACTGTGTCTGGGAAGATCTTACTTGTCAGGAACCCGTGTTGTCTTGTTCTCCTTCATAACGAATATTGGGCCTTTTTGCCCTTGTGACGAGGGAATAGCAGCTGCAGCGTAAGCACCTCTGCGCCTGTGGGTCAGCTGGAGGGACAGGCCAAGGAGGGAGCGAAAAGCTGGGGATTTTCTAATGTTCAGAATAGGAACGGGGAGGAGTTGTGTTGTGGCGTTGGAGGTTATATAATCTGCGTTCCATATGGATGCGGATTTGAGACCTAGCTGCAGCTGATCCAGCTCCCTGCTAGTGTGGCAGGAAAAGTAGCAGAGGATGACTCAGATGCTTGGGCCCCTGTATGCATATGGGAGACCTGGAATATGCTCCTGGCTCTGGCCCCACCCTAGCCGTTGCAGCCATTTGGAAAGCAGACAAAAGACCGCGCCCCACCCCCTCAGCTCTTTCTTTCTCTCTCTGAATCTCTCCCTCTGTTTCTCTGTCTCTGCCTTCCAAATAGATAAATCTTAAAAAATGATAATAATAATAATAAAATGACGCTAAGGGAAAATCAACATCTTAGAAGACATTATTGTTTCATTTTATTTCACTGTAAAGTTGCTGCCAAACTGGGCCTGGTGCAGTAGCCTAGCGGCTAAAGTCCTTGCCTTGCATGCGCCAGGATCCCATGTGGGTGCCAGTTCTAATCCTGACGACCCACTTCCCATCCAGCTCCCTGCCTGTGGCCTGGGAAGGCATTTGAGGACCCCGCACCCACGTGGGAGACCTGAAAGAGCTCCTGGCTCCTGGCTTCAGACTGGCTCAGCTCCAGCCGTTACGGTCACTTGGGAACTGAGTCATCTGACAGAAGATCTTCCTGACTGTCTCTCCTCCTCTCTGTATATCTGACTTTGCCGTCTTGATTCATTCGCCCCACTCTTGCACTGCTTATAATCACGGCTTGTTGTAAAGCAGCAGGCACAGATAGAAACAGGTGCCCAACTCGACCTGCCCCTGCTGTAGCCTCAGTGCTGTGTGATATCGTCATTGTCAGCCAAACGAAAGCAGGGGGCTGCTCGGTGGCAGGAAGGCCGTCACCTGGGGTCGCCCCGACGCCCACCTCATAGTTACCCCCGTGATCCTCACAGGGCACCCAGGCCTCCATAGAACTTCCTTCGGAGCACCCAGAGGGCCTCTGCCACTCCAGGAGCGCGTCGGTAAGGCTGCCGGAGTTGGAGATGAGTGAACTCATTCTTCAAACCGTTTGCATACATTCATTGTAAATGTGTACCTCCAAAGTACATAAAGCTGGCACCTCTTCCTTCCAGAGGAAGCGCTGCAAACGTTTAATAACAGATGTGACCTAGTGAATCATCCCCTCTGGGGTCTGGCTGCGTTTCCTCCAGCCTGCCTCAGCCCTGCGCATTGCTTGCTGTGTGCTCCCTTCTCCTGGGCTGCTCCCTCCGGGACTCCCCGTCTGTGCAGGCTGCTGATGGCTGCCACTGTTGGCTGCCAAGGCTGAGGATAATTCTCACTGCGTCTGTTCTGCACCCTGCGGTACGAGCCACCTTCCTGTTTTATTCACTGTTCGTAAGGGATGGGGAGAGGGAGGCACATTTGCTCCCTTTAGCAGGAGAGGAACTTCCTTGTTAAGAAGCTAAGCCACAGACGAGTGCTTGTGTGGGCATCCACATGGGTTACGCCACAAGCACTTCGGCAGAGCATCACTCTCCTCAGCACTCAGCTAGTGCTCTCCTTCTCAGAGTCCCCAGCCCCAAAATAAACACAGGAGTGATCCTCCACGTCTGAGGGCACAGCAGCCGGACGGGCCCTGCCATGCAGCCTCCTAGCACGCATGTGCATTTTGTAAGACTTGCATGTTTTCTGCAGCTGGAAGGCGTGCGATTAGCTAACCTCTGTTGCTGCTTTTAAACTGGAAGATGCTTCTAAGAATAACAAGGTGATGTGTTGCTTCCTCTCACCAGGCTTTTCAAATAAAGCTAAAATTAGTAATGGGTGTTGGAAATATTACCAGTGAACAAAGAGAGGAATACATAATCATTCTGCTAATTTTGGACCAGAAAATGCCTTGCCAGGCCTTCCGGGTCAACGGAGTGCCCGCAGTGACATCCACCCCCGAGGGTCTCACCACGTCCTTGCCTTTAAGCCTCCCGTTATGAGGTGTAACATCTTCAGCAGGCTCATCTGATGGGATATTTTGGTTCTGGAGGTTTAAATAGCCTACCCTCCATGACAAAGCTATTGGATAGCAGGACCGAGACTGGCTCTCCTGTGTCCCTGTGGGCTCTCTGCCCTCGCACGGGCCCCTCTTCCTGCCGCGTGTTGGATTTTGACCGCTTTCCCCTGGGGTCCCCTCTGCTGCTTCTGTTACAGCTCCTGTCCTGCTCCTTTGCTCCCTGACTGGGTTCACTTCTTTGCTTGTATCTTTTTTCTTTTTCGCTCCTATTTGAAGGATGCAGGCACAGGTGGTCAGTTCTTTCACAAGCACCATGCTTGCTCAAAGTCCTTGCTTTTCATGTCGCTCATTCGCTTGACATCAAAACTGGAAAAGGTTACAGATGACAGTTTGAACCTTTTCAGCATGCAAATTATGTCAAGGTAAAAATGATTTTATATCAGCGTAACAGAGTTCTTAACTATTCATTTTTATCACTACCTGTTCAATATGTCAAGCTGCAAAAGTGGAATAATTTAATTTATGGGCATGACTCAGATCTTGAGGAATGAATATGAAAATACTGAATGCCAAGGGTAGGCCCCATCCTGTAGGCCATGTGGTCCATTGCTCCACAGGGCCTGCCAAGCGTAGTTCTTCCTTGAGTAGAAAAGAGGTGAACTATCCATACTGTCCTCCTTAGGCCTTCCCATTTTTGCATCTCATGGTTATACTTTAAGTGCAGCTAATCAAAATATGATGTTCTCTAAGTTAGACAAACGATCCACTCTGTAAATTTAGCTGGCATAAGGCAGTTGTTCTGGCTGTTAGCAACAAGTGTTAGCAAGCAAAACAAGGCCAACTGAAGGAATGAATGGATGTTTGTTCTTTAAAACAGAGATAGCATGTAAAATTGGTAAATATTTAAAACATTTAAGTATAAAAAAACAAAACAAACAAAAATGGCACTTGGGCCAGTGTTGTGCCCATGTAAGCCAGAGTTGAAACTAGCCGTCCCATTCGCAGTGATTTTAGGGCCACCTCAAGAAGTACTTACTTCAAGCTTTCTGATGAAGGAGACGATTGGTCATCTGCCCTGGGCCTTTCTTTTATTCAGACGTAAGCTGGTCAGCACATGCGGTCTGGAGCAAAAGCTCATTTTTAATTTGTGATGAATGATAGCAAATAAATGCTGCTTTTGATCCTCATTGTTTTAAATTTTCAGATGAAGATATTTTGACTGAAACAAGTGAAGAATGTAAAACCTTTCTACAGGATGAAGTTCAATATTTTGGTAAAATAGATGACGAGAAGCATGATTCAGAGCTCAAGTCGGATGTGCACACGTGTTTATTTGTAGCTTCTCGCGCCGAAGCCGGTTGAGCACCGCCTGGGGTCAGCGTTCTGGCCCGGGTGTGCTAAGAGCACGCTGCAGACTGAAGCTGCAGGGTGAGAAATGGGCATGCTTGCGCTCGACTAACGGGAAGTCAGATTTTTTTTTTTTAAAGTTTGCACCGTCACTTGAGCCTTGTTTAGGAGAAGAGCCTCGTGTACGTGTGTCCAGCCGTCTGGCGAATCTCATGTGCGCGTGTTCCTTTTCCAGATGATTCAGGCCCTCAAGGCGCTGCTGGAAAATGCAGACGCTGTCTACGAGAAGATCGTGCACTGCCAGAGAGCCGGTAAGCCAGAGTGCTTCTTTCCTTTACAACAAAACCGGGGGGTGGGAGGGCAGTTGACTTTGGCTTTTTTATTTTACGTCAATAACATCAGTGTGAAGAACATTTTTCCGTGGCTTAAGGAAGCATTAATTCACTGGTTAACCTGGGTAACAGACTCACCCGGGGGTGCTCTCAGACTGCCCCCCCATGCTGGGTGGACGAGGACCTAGGAACTGTGCGAGCTGGTCCTGCCCAGGCGACCTCAGGCGGGACTCAGAATCCAATCAGTCTGCAGCAGGCTGGTTTTTGAAGTTGATCATTTTGTATAGCCCACGAATGGACTTACAGATATCCAGATGGCCCTTGGCTGGAGAGGGGTTGCCCTCCCCTGGTGGGATATGAATGGGGAGTGAAGATCTTCAGAGCAGACAGCCTTGTCCAGCTGTTCCTCCACCTGACCTGTGCTGCCACTCACAGCGCCTGGGCTGGCCCCGGTGGCTGAGCGGCAGCACAGGAGGCTCAGGGAGGCTTGTGCAGAGAACCAGTGCTTACCCAGGAAGGAAAACGGCTACTAATCACAGCCGCCTACACTGTTTAAGACATTGGCATTTTCAAGTGCTGATATTCATTAACATCCAACTGTTATACTAGGTTATAAAATTCTGCTTACATTGATAGCATCTACTTAATTAACATCTGTCTAATTTTCAAAGTGTTGGAAAAAAAAAGATCAAGCATTCTACTTGGTAATAAAAATGGGATTATTTCAGTTTCTATTTTTGCTTATGTCAATATGAAAGATTGTCATGTAGAAAATATTTATGAGTCCTAAATCGGAGCATCTTTACTTGCTTTCTAAGGTTTGGGGTTGCAGTTTTTTTAAAATCAAGAGCCGTAGCTGTTATATAGCCTGAAAATAAAATCGTTTTTTTATCCCAGAAATGAACTCATTTAAAGCAAATTGAAGACAAAGATATGAGTGACAATTTCTTTTAGTATCTGGTGAAAGACGATTAATGACTATTCAGTAAACTGCAAAGTCTTCATGTTGTTTTACTCGTTTAATCAACAAAGTAAAGCTTGCAAAGTGTTCTTTCTCCATCTACCCATTTGCACGCTAATCTGACAGTCCACAATTAAAACTGATTAAAAGAAACCCACTGATTATTCCAGACATTTCATCGTGTCACCACCCTGCATGGCATCCCGCACTGCCCTCTGATGCCACTCACACCCAGGCTGAGCTTTTCACGTCACGTGTGACCCACCAGAAATAGTACATTGCCAGTAATATGTAAAAGATTGCAATTAAACCGTCTGTCCTTTTGGTGAATAAGCGTATTTTGAACTTCCGTATGTATAAGGTTCTTCATATCTCTTGCATATCAAAATATAAAAAAAAAAGTCTGTTTTCTTCTAAAACTTTCCAATTGAAAAGGAGATGTGAAAGTAAATTCAGCCAAATGTGTTAAGTACTTGCTGTGTATTACGATCTCAACTCAGTCTGTGGTCACTTGAGAGCCATATGATTCTGAGCATAGAAGAGAGACTGAATTTAAAGTACTGACTGTATTCACTATATATTTATCTCATCTTTTAAAAAATATTTATCTTATTTGCATTGGAAAGTCAGATTTATATAGACTGACTCATTCCCCAAGTGGCCAAAAACAGCTGAAGCTGCGCTGATCAGAGGCCAGGAGCCCAGAGCCTCTTCCAGGTCTCCCACGTGGGTACAGGGTCCCAAGGCTTTGGGTCATCCTCGACAGGGAGCTGGATGGGAAGTGGGGCCACCGGGATTAGAACCGGCGCCCATATGGGATCCCAGCGTGTGCAAGGTGTGGGCTTTAGCCACTAGGCCACTGCGCCAGACCCTACCTCCTCTTTTTTTTAAAAGATCTATTTGTTTATTTAACAGAGTGACAGAAAGAGAGATCTCCCATTCACTGGTTCAGTCCACAAAATGACCACATTGACCAGGGTTGGTCCAGATCAAAACCTGGAGCCCAGAACACCATCCAGGTCTCACACATGATGTCTACTAAGGGTGTGAGGAGCCCAAGTCCAAGGGCGATTCTCTGCTGCTTTCCCAGGCATATTAGTGGAGAACGGGATCAGAAATGGAACCACCAAGACTGAAACTGACACCCCTCCACGGGATGCTGTCTTGCAAGCTGCGGTTTAACCCACTGCAGCACAGCAAGTCGTTATCTGGGCCCTAGAGAATTTTTGTGGACAGAAGCAGAATTACATGGCAGGGGCTGCTGGTAACAGATGAGCTAGAAGCTCCAGGGAGCAGAGAGGACAAAAGAAAAAAAATGATGCTGGGCCACCCAACCTCACCCATGGGCTGCCAGTCCCCATCCCCTGCGTATTTCCAGTTAAATGTGCCCAGTTGGACTAGATTGGCTCCTCGCTTTGGTGAGACTTCTGCTTCCGCCCAGCCTGCCAGTCTGTACTTGTCTTAAATTATCTCAGCAGTCTTCCAGGAGGTCATTCGAGATTTAGAGTCCCTGTTTTCTGAAACTACCACTGCATTTAGTGCCTCAAACCATTCGCTTCAGGGAATAGAGCTTCTGCAGTTATTGTGGTTCATGCTTTTTATGAATGTATTTCATCTTCTAAATAGGATAATAACCTTCTGTGATACCAAGACTCTGTTAGATTATTCTCAGTACTCTGTTGACATCTGTTCTAACAGCCATGCAGAGCAGTCACTCAGGTATTGGCAGAGTGAGTGGGAACTTACTTTTATTAAGTAGTCGAGTCCATGAAACGCAGGTGGCACTTCTATGAGAATTATGGGATTTATAGAATTTTTTAAACAAACTGATTGCTGAAAAAATTATTCATTCAGAAATTTGAATGAATTTTAATTCATTGGTTTACTGACTTTCATCATTTAATGAAGCTTTAGGCTCTTATTTCTGATGTCAGTGCAGGATATACCTGTCAGTTTTGCATAGGAGTGGCCCATACCCAAAAACCACTCTATGTAATCAAGTCGCTCTGCTTTTGAAGATCTTTAGACACCTGCAAAGATTATCTTTTGGTTTCGCACTTACTGTTGAACGCTGGCATTGTCCTTCTGCTTCTTTACAGTCCCTTCATGTCTTGTTTCTTTTTTTTTTTTAAAGATTTATTTTTTAATTTTTTATTGGAAAGGCAGATATACAGAGAGGAGAGACAGAGAGGAAGATCCTCCGTCCGATGATTCACTCCCCAAGTGAGCGCAACGGTCAATGCTATACCAATCCGAAGCCAGGAGCCTCTTCTGGGTCTCCCACGCGGGTGCAGGGTCCCAAAGCTTTGGGCCATCCTTGACTGCTTTCCCGGGCCACAGGCAGGGAGCTGGAAGGGAAGCGGGGCTGCCGGGATTAGAACCGGCGCCCATATGGGATCCCGGGCGTGCAAGGCGAGGACCTTAACCACTTGCACCACTGCGCCAGGCCCATGTCTTGTTTCTTGTTACAACTATGGGAAGGAGGTGTAGTTATTACTCATATGAAGAATTGCTCATTTGTGTTGAGTTCAAAAATCATTTGCATAAGATTTTATGTTTGAGAAGTCATTGTCATGCTGCTTGCAGAATGTCAAACTTGCAGATACCAGCTCTCAAAGAGCTGCACGGGAGGATTGTTTCAGAAACGTGTCAGATTTTTAACCCATAAGTTTATATTCTTATTGTATAGAACAAATGCAAGTGGGGAGTTAGACAACTGCCACGGTCACGTGTTTGAAAGTGCACCAGCTGAGACAAGTGCAGAGGCCTGACTGCGTGAGAGATGAAGGTGTGTGTGACCACGTGTTTATTGGGCAGAGAAGGGGGCCAGAGAGGAGAGCTCAGACATGAAGACTCCACCTGGGCGGCAGTGACACACAGGCCCCGGGGGTGGAGGCCCCAGGACAGGGAGAAATGAGGAAACAGCTCAGCGGTGCCGGCTGAAGGCAGCCTGGGCAGGTGGGACAGCTGGTGGCACAGCGGGAGGGGGAAGTGGCAGGATGAGGCTAGGATAGCAGAGGTCAGTGAGAGGGGAGACAAGTTAATGACTGAGGTACGGCCAGGAAAACACTTGACCTTAGACAGGTGGAGGAACCCCTGACATTGAAATGGTAGAGCAGCTTGCTGGGAAGTTAGAGACCTTCTGAGAGGGGATTGCCCTCCCCTGGGGAGGTGAGTGAGGCCGTGGCACACCGTGGAGAGCCTCAGCGATGGCCAGAGGGAAGGAGGAGCTGGGTCCCGCAAGAGCCTGGTTAGGTGCTCAGGCAGAGGGCAGCTGTGCCAGTGAGAGGGACTCCCTGAGGATGAAAGGGTCTCCACCGCCCACCGCCTGTGAGAAAGGTGAACAGGTGGCACACGACACAGGTGGCTCAGAAGTGTGCAGGGGAGCTAAGCGGCAGCCTACAGGGAAGGGTCATTGACATTTATCATTTTTTTAATTTAGAAAAGTTTATCGAAGATTTACCAAGTCCTTTCAGGGAAAATATCAGCCATTTTCTACTCTTTCTCTTCTTCCACGGCCCTAACTGTAACCTATCTTTATGTTCATTATCTCATGTCCAGTCAGTAATTTCATCTGCTTCAAAAGCAATAGGAAGATGATCTCTAAGGCAATCCGAACTGCTTTGCTTCAATGAGCTGGGTGCTCTAGTCAGGTGATCTTAAATGGAAAATAAATTGCTCTCTGGAAGAGAAGAAAATCTATGGCATAGTTCCTATTATAGATGGTAAATTAACACATCCATTTATTCTCCACTCTCTTAAAAAAAAAACATCTCACAGGAATAATGAGCTAGGGGGTAGGGCAGGGGGGAGGAGCAGAGAGGGGGAATGGTGCTTTTATTAAATCCATGAGGACAAAGAAAACAGGAGTAAAATAATTTTCAGTACGGAAGAGCAGTTGAAGAGGTGATAATTGACTGAACAGGTGATAATTGGCTTAACTGCCCAGCCAAGAAAGCTGGATGGAAGCTGGGACCAGACAGGGAGTGTGAGTCACACGGCAGGCCACCTGCTCAGG